ATCCCTTTCATTTTGTTTGTTTTCCTTTTTTTTATGTTAACTTTTAGAATAATTTTTATTTCTTATCGTGATGATTGTATATGTACATGTATATAAATACAACTATAAAGATATGCCTGTGTGAAGTTTCTATAATGCGAAAGAATAAAGTTGCCAAAAGAGTTGATGTATATATCGTATAAAAAAAAAAAAGTGTTTTTTCTTTATTGCTGTTTATACTTATTGTCATTTACAGAAATACGTTTTAGTAATATTAAAAAAGAAAAATATACACAATTTTTCGTCAAAATATTCATAACCTACAAATACTCAAGTAGTGCGTAAAGAGAACTTCGAATTCATTCGCTTTATGTACTATGGTAGTCCTTCAAATATAAAATTCTAATCTTTTGGCATATACTGAAAATAAAAAGATTTTAGAGTTTAGATTATATTTATATTATGTAACGAATAAAAAAAAAATCAACAAAAAGTTGTTATACTATAGTTATATACCAAATACTATTATACTATAACTATAGTTTACTACAATTTGAAAAAAAAGTATATATTTACGTCGTGCAAATGTGAGGTTATGAACAGTGCCATTGACTTTTGTTATTGATACATAATTTATTGCAATATGGAAGAAGATAGTAAGTATTTTGTATTCGAATGATCATAATAAAATTAAAATATATTATGAATAATTCTGATATATTACATTAGTATATTTTTAATTAATATTTTTTCATTTATTAAAATAAGGACTTATCAAAAGAAAACAACGTGCAAAGCGCGATGGAAATTTACAGCATTTGGCTGAAATTATTAAAGAACTTGGAGATTTATATTTTCAAACTGGAAAATTAGAGGATGCTTTACAAGAATATATGCAACAATTAGAAATTTGTCAAATTTTAAACGACGAGTTGAATTGCGCAATTGCGCATAGAATGATCGGTGAAGTATATACCGGTCTTGGTAATTATGAAGAGGCATTGATACATCTGAATGAATATCTTGGTTTGTATGATACATATACAGGAATAAAAATAATTAATATAACTTTTAAATAAGATAAGTGACTCTATTACAATTTATATGTTAGAACAGAGGGTGCCCAAAAGGTAAAAAATTTATTGGAAGAACAGCGTGCTTTTGCTACATTAGGAAGAACATATTTTTGCTTAGCCGAAACGCAACCCAAAGAATCCGATGGAAAAAAAAATGCTTTAGTCGATGCTAAAAAGGCATATACAAGGAGTATACGTCTTTGCAATGAGTATTTTATACATTTTTAATCTTCAATATATGATTATTTTTATGTTCTATTAAATGATATATATTATTTATTTATTTATAGATTAGAAAATTCAAATATTAAATTAGAAGAAATGATGACAATGCGTACACGATTGCTCTTAAATTTAGGTTTAATACTTGAAGCTCAAAAAGAACTTGAACAAGCAATTGATCTTATTGAAAAAGCAGCAATATTATGTAAAAAACATAATTTGAATGAGGACTTACATAGAACAAATATTGCTTTAGCTGCTGTATATGAACGTCGAGGAAAAACTGCATTAGCATTGCAGCATCTTGATACTGCTGCTGATATAAACAATGTATCATTAAAAGCTGAAGCGCATCTTACTAAAGCAGAGTTATTGTTGAAAATTGGAGAATGGAGTGATGCCCGTAAAATATTAGTTTCTTTATATTTGACCAAGGGATTACCACAGAATGTGAATGAACAAGTGGAGAAATATTTAAGAATTGGTAAATTTACAATATTTGTTAAATTCGAAATGAAAAATATTTTATATTTAAATATTATCTGATTCTTTTTAGTGGTAACAATATGTAGAACCGAAGAAAATTTATTTATTGAAGATGATATATCTGTTAAGCAAAAATTGTATGAAACATTAGGAGATGCAACTGTAGCTGTACATTCTTTTGAAAAAGCAATAAATTATTATCAGGAAATGCTAAAATGTGCAGAAGACAGTGGAAGTGAGAAAATAGGTGCTGCTTTAATAAGTTTAGCACAAACTCTGCGCGATGCAGATCGATATGATGAAGCATTACAGTTTGCTATTAGAGAACTTGAATTATGTAGTGATCCACATGAAATATGTAGGTCTGCTCTCTTTTTAGCTGATTTACAAATAGCTAATAAATCTTCTGATGCAGAAATTAAAAAATCTTATAATTTAGCATTATCCACGGTAGAACAGTTAGAAAATAAAAAACTTCAAATATCTGTTCTAAAAGAATTCTTACTTTATTTAAAGAAAACAGAAGATAAAGATACTACAGAAATGATCCAAGAAAAATTAAGTAATCTGACGAATCATCTTATCGATGAAGAAAGTGAAAGTGAAAGTGAAGTAGAAAGTGTAAATATTGGAGGAGATATTTGTTTAGAAGACTTGTCGGATGTAGAAAATGAATTGCAATCTAAAGAAAATATTGAAACAACAAAACGACGCTTTAAGAGAGGTCTTGCATTGAGGAGAAATGAAAAAGGAGAAACACAACTTCATGTTGCATGTATTAATGGTAATATTGCAAATGTAGAAAAATTGTTAACAGCAGGACATCCAACGAACATAAGAGATCACTGTGGTTGGACCCCGCTCCATGAAGCTGCAAATCATGATTACATAGAAATAGCTAAATTGTTACTTAAAAGTGGAGCAAACGTGAATGATCCAGGTGGATCATTGTGTGGGGGTATTACACCTCTTCATGACGCCGCATCATGCGGAAATTTATCTATGATGTGCCTGTTAATGGAATACGGTGCAAATGTTACTCTCAGAACTAAAGAAGGAGATACAGTATTAGATTGCTTAGAAAGTTGGAAGGATCGTGCAGGCAACTTATCATTAAACGAACAAATGGAATATGATAATATGTATAAAAAATTAGTATCTGTGGTACCAACAAGTATAAAGAAATCTAAAAAACAATCTCCTATATCTAAACATGATTATAAAAAATTAATAGATCTAGAAACACAGAATGAGGAAGTAGAACCTAAGAAGATATCTGCTGGAGAAGATTATAAAAGAACAATAGCTAATTTAAAACATAGAGGTAGTTTAATAAGACCAATCATGAATTCTAATGATAAGTGTAAAATAACAAATCCTCTTCTAGATACTGAAGAAGATTTAGTTGATGACTGGTTAGAAGATGATATGTGCACAAGTTCCAAAAAAAAATCTTCAAATGATACTTTCAATACAACTACCAAAAGAAAATCAAATAGTTTCAATATAGATAATGAGACAAATAGTACACGTGTAAAACGACAAAAAATTGATACTGATGACGAAAAAGAAGAAGAAGAAGAAGAAGAAGAAAAAGAAATACATAATATTATTGCATTAGAAGACAGTGACAATAGTAATGCAAGTAAAGTAACCAGTCCTGTTAATTCACCTAAACAATTTAGAAAAAAGAAAAATAAACAAATCTCCTTATTTTCTACTGGTTTTACTAAGAATTCTATATCTCGTACTCCTTCACCTATTTGTTCAAATATTCTGGATAATTCATCTCATCAAAGTAATAATGGAATATCAACGAATTTACAGATTTTTATAAAAAATAAAATTTTTGATTTAAAATTAGTTATACTTGAGCAAGAAAGAGATGATATATTAAGAATTATCTTAGATGATATAAGGAAAAAGTTCTGTGATGAAACTGGATGTATAGTGGAGCTTGTTTTAAAAACAATGGAAGGAGATCCAATTTCTTCTGAAAATATAATTCACATTATAAAAGGAAATGAAAATATAAAATATTTAAAATGTGAAATTATCAAAATAGAAATACCATCTATTGTAGAGAGGTATAAAACAATTTGCGGAATTATTCAAATAGGTAATATAAAAAAATATTTTTTATATCCAAGTGATCATTATCAATAAAATAATAAAATTATAATTAAAAATATTTTATATTTTTAGTGCCAGAAGAGACAACAATAAAATGTTTAAAATCGTGCGAAAATACGTCTGTTTTCCGACTTAAATCAGATGAAACAAAGGAAACAGAACTTGAACCTTTGCTTAAAGCTCTAGAGTATCAAAAACATTTGCAAGTACTATATTTGTCTGGAGGAGTTTTTCTCAATAGTGGAAAAATATTGTCTAATTGTCTTTCAGATTTATCACTTTTACAAGAATTATATTTGCAACAATGTGATATTGATCACAATTGTTTGTTAAGGATAGAAAAGTTACCAGTTCAACTAAGAGTACTAGATTTTAGTTATAATCCACTCGGACCAAATTCTCAAGAAACAATTCACAAACTGATTGCACCATTAAAGAACTTACAAACTTTGTCTTTACGACACTGTGAACTAAATGATTTTAATTTTTCCATTGAAAGTAATAATCTTGTAAATTTAGATTTATCGTGGAATTTTTTAAATGGTAACAGCAAATGCTATTCTTTACAAAGACAATTAGTTAATTTAAATTTATCTAATACGCTTCATCCAACTCGGAGTTCCTTTATCACTGATATCATTCAGAATTCCAAATTTTTTTTTATGACTTTAGAATCACTTGAATTTGCTTGTTGTGACATTACTGATGATGATGTTAAATCTATACTCTTACAAGCACCAAATCTTACAAAATTAATACTTAATGGCAATTCGAAAGTTTCATTGATATCTGTACATATGTTATTGAATCATAGGCCTACACTAAGATATATAGATATCAGTGGATGTACAAATATTACAGAACCACCTGATCCAAATATAACTATAAAGAATCCTGAAATATGTACTTTAATTGTTAATATGATACCTGATATATGTCAATCTTGGTTAGTTTTATGGGAAGGAAAAGGTATTGTACATAAATTATCACACAATCTTACAATTTTTAAACCATCATAGTTATGACATTATAGAATGATAAATTAAGCTTTTAGTGTCTTATTAATATAACTATGTATTTACAGTATTATTATTACCTATAATTTTATTGTAATTTGAATGTATAAAGTTTATTTCCTACTTTACAATATAATTCATTAATATGTACATAATTTTCTTCTGTATAATCAATTAAAAATTTATTAAAACTAGAATTGATTGAAGATAGAACTTTGTTGAGGTAGTCTTCTCTATCCCCTACCCACCAAAGGATACTTACATGGAATGAAGGGTCCTTAAAGAAAAAAAAAATAATTACGTGAATCTCATGACAATAAGTCTGACATAATTCACAAAATTATTTTAAGTACATTAGAAAATCATCATGTTCTTACCTCATAAAATAGTGGTAATTGATATTCTGTCAATATATTATCAATAGAAGAAATTAAATAATTTAACACATTACTGTAACAATTTATTCCAAGAAATGTACGAGTTCTTTCTTCATTACAATATACTTTTATATCAGTAAGTTCCATAGTAAATTTGTTAGTCTTTTGAAATAATTTTTTTAAACTTTCGACGAAGGATTCAATCCAATGAAATTTTAAAATTAATGTTCGAGTAAGACTAATATGGAATTGCTCGAAAAGTATATTGCTATCTTTTGGCAATAAAGTTGCAATTGATTTTATCCAAGAAAGCATAGCGTCATTAGGTGTATCTACAACAAAAAATATTAAACATTTTATTATTCTAACATTCTGCAATATGCATTAATAAGCTTTCATTTTTTAGTGCACTACAAAATCTTGCATTTACAATTTACATAAACTAACGTTGCCCAATTGCCACGTTCATGTTTAAAAGTTCTTATCTTTCCATTATGATCTGACGGATTATCTATTATTTCTTCGTGATGAGGAACACCTTTCCATGATAGAATACTTTGAGGCACAGATAGACTGTAAATGAAAAATATACCTTTACATGTTTCTAAATAATCAAAATCTAACCTATAAACATCTGATTACCTTCCATCAATTTTTTTATATTTTTCATTTTCTTCTTCATCTTCCGAATTAGACGAATAATATTCACTAATTAAATTCAAACTGTTAATACTCGACATATTTTAAAAATTTTCGCTCCAAATAAGTTACTATATTCGATAAAGAAAATAATTTTCGCGGAGTATATGTCAATATCTTGACTCTTATTGGTGAACGTAAAATTGATTGCTACTAATAAACAACATTACTTAGTTATCTCATCGTATTACTTAAGCATTGATTTTCTTTCGTGTAACAATATTTTCATTAAGATAAAGACATAGTTCATAAGTATAATAACAATATAGTTTGTGTATAAAAATGGAAGTAAAATGGTAAAATACAAATTTTTAATAATCTTTGGAAAATGTAATTTTTCATTTTTATAAATAGAAAGTAAATTCCATTAAGTTTGAAGTCTCTAAATTATATTTCAAAACATGATATGATGAAGATTCGTATATAAGAGAAAATAAAGAAAAAATGAAAAATAAAATTATCAGAACGGCAGAAGGTTTTAAGGTATTACAAAATATACACATACATACATATTTATATTCTCATTTTAATAATTATTAATTACTTTACAAACAGGAGAAAATGATCTGAATATCCTGTTCTTCACAAAGAATTCACTAAAAGGGAAGGCAAAGTTCATAGATAACAACCTTTCTAAATTCTTCCTGCAAATGTGCCCTCTTCAACTTGATCATTCCATTTAGAAACCCAATCATTCGGGCATACAGAAGTGTAGACTCGTTTGAAGTACTTACAGGGTTCATAATCTTGACTGTGTTTATTGGAACAGCGATGAAAATCCAAGAAATTTTGGTAGCAGTATCTACATATTTATTAAGATCATTAATATCATCAAATTATTAATGATATCAATGTTTTTAATATCATATTCAAAAAGTCATACCTTGTTTGATTTTGATTTGGGAACCTTGGATCAAATGGCGCTGTCTTCCACTCTACTTGTGACATGATGGCAGCAGTTTAGAATACTCTTTAACAAGTTATAAGTTACTTAATTTCTATTGAAATTTTTCTGTAAATATTACACGTCACCCCTTCAACCCTTTGCTACATACTTTGTATACAGTCCCTCGCTCTAGGCCATATGTCTCTTGCCTCATCTAATCACTATCACAATTTCATTTTTTTTTTTTATAGTCTCTTTCTCTCTTTCATACATAAGAATATTGTTTAAATAATATACTTTGTCTATAAAGGCATTCATATACAGTTTCAAATTAGCATATTACAGATATTATATAGATTTGATTAAAAATTAATTTCATTTCAAAAGTCATGTCTCATACCCTTAAAAAATATATTGAAATTACTTAAGTGCAAAGTATGTTATTAAATTACCATTCGATATTCGTGAATGTCACATAATGTTTCAATCATTAGAAAGTCAAATAAAAAAAAATTAATCGTTCACAGCACATTTGTTATAGGAATAATGAGGCGACAAAGAAGAGAAAAAAATTAATTATTTGACCAATGGTCTAGTATTATCCTCTTCCTGACAACAAACTTCACGATATTTTTTCACTTCTGCCATATAAAGTGACCATGCATCCTTGGGTTGTTCAACAGTTTGCTCAGTCTTTGGTTTTGCAACCATTCCAGTTTTTAGGATTCTTCCTCCTCGTCTTTTTCCAACCATCAAAGGTGGTGGTATTACTGGCTTTTCCTCAAGAACAGAAGTTGTTGGTTGTTGTGCAGGTTGCATTTGTTCTTGCATTTTTTTAAACATTTCCATAAAACTTCCATCATTTTTAAAGGCATTTGGCTGTGGAACGGGCTGTTGTTGTGCTACAACCGTATCTGCATGATCTTCAAAAGCATCAGATTCATACGATGGTGCTCTATGATGTCTACGACTTTCTCTATATCTGTGCCTGTCTCTACTTCTATTTCTGCTACGACTGCGTCTTCTGTCTCTTGAACGAGACCTTCCCCTTGATCGAGATCTTGATCTATCTCTTCGTGAATACTTCCGTGACCTGTCCCTGTCTCTATCCCGATCTTTGTCTCTGTCACTCGAACGAGATCGTCTGTGAGATCGGATTGGAGAAGGTCTGGAAGTACTCCTTTTCCTTCTTCGTCTATCCGGTGGCGATTCATTCCGGGAAGATTTACTGCTCCTGTAGTCTGTAGGCGAAGGCGATCGACGAGATGTTCTGCTTTTGTAGTTGTCATGCGTTGTGTAACTTGAGCTATACAGGGGAGGTGAGGGTGGAGTAGGTGGTGAGTCTGTGTGTGACCTGGCGCTGCATTCATGCCGTTTTGAATCCATGGTGAAGAGCTCAAATACCTCACTGACCAGGGTGAACGGACAGATGGATACCTATAAGGATAGAAACTGCCTTCTATAAGTACACAGCCTATTTTAATTCATCAGGCCTTTATATGACTGGCTCTAAATACACATTTGCAAGAGACAAGTAGACTTAGAGCGAGAGAATATATACTAAATACTTTGATATATTAACATCTTTGTGCTTTATATTTAACATTTTTTTATATCTGTCATGATATAATCATTTTTAATTTAATAGTAAGCTTATAGAATTGATTTAACGTTGCTTTCTATAGATATAGAATATTATAATTATTCATGTATAAATTTAATTTCAACTCTCTTACTCCCAGGAACATTTATAAAACTATCTCACGAATGGATTATATTCATGAGTGTGCATGAAGGAGTCAGAGCGTTACTATCTTCAAAGAAATTGTTTAATTTTAGAATATTTTATTAATTTGACGTAAACTCTTATATAAAGGCAACTTTTGTAGTTTTATTTAAAATATAATGACATATCACTTTTTACTCGACATGAACTCAAGAACTCAATTGATATTGGTTTTACAAATTTTTACCAATTACTTTGAAGAGATAAATGTATTTATAACAGACGTTCGGTTAGGGGTGACTTCTACGATCAAATATACAATGTAATTGAATAAAAAAAGATAATATTGCGGATAAACATTAATTTTTACAAATATTTTTATCCATTTCATAGAAGATTGAAAGGAAATTTGGATCGATTGAAAAGCATTATATTGTACAGAACAGTTTCTTATCTGCGATTATATGTATTACGAATTATTATTATTTGATAAATTAAATTTTAACAATTATATTAAACTACCCGAAACTTTCTTTGAGTGTTTGTTAATACTATTGATCGTATAATATTCTAAAATTACACAAATTATCTTTAATGCAATACCTTGATCAGCCGTCCCGACGAAAACAAAATGGCTACTAGAGGTATACCAGAAGATTCGTTACGTCATGCGCACGAAGAAAGTTTGCTCTGCCTAGGAGTATAGTTAAGCACGATTTTCAGAATACATGCGCAGAATTATCCGTGGGAACCAACGAATGAGGGTGCAAGATTTTCGATGACGTGTAAATGATCGTTACCAAAATGCATCAAAAAAGAACCTAACCAATAAAAGTGAATTAACGAAAATCTCTTCTAACCTAAAAATATAACCAATCAGAAATGATTATATCTTATAACTAACCTTTCATAAAATAGTATCATTGACTGTAAACCAGTCCAATACAGTCAAAAAATGTCTTTAGAAAGTTATTTTTATACATCGCAAATATATTGACAGCATTTGGACAAATTCAATTAATGTTAATATTATATTAATGTTACGATTAAATAATACGCATTGTAATAAATGATGAATGTTCGTTATTAGAAGATGGAAAGATAGGTAAGAAGATATTAATTAGATAATGCTCGTTAACCTATCGTTCTTAATATCTCACATGAACCACACTTTATTATAATCAGATATTTTACAAATGCAGGTCAAAGTTACATTAGAGAATTTCTGTATAATTAAAATATACTTATCTTATAAAATATCCTGTAATTTTCTTGATGACACATAAAAAAAAGAAGAAAAAAAAAGAAGTAATACTTTAATTGTCTTTTAACAATATACTTTCGCTCGTATATAAACATAGATGAGTGTGTGCGAATTAGTAACCTCTTTTCTCCATGAGATAGAATGTATACAATATAGAAACATTAGGAAACATATAATGAGTATTACGTTTTAATTCACACAATGTTTTTATTAATCGAATTCATTTATTTGTACGTTCAACATATACATACGTATATGTATACATGCATATATACAACATATATAAATTAATAAAGTTAATAGTATTCTGTAAGCATACAATGTAGATTAAAATCTCATTTTTCATTCTCATTATTGTGGTAGTCTATTTTTGATTAGTTAATGATAAAAGATCATTTCCTTTTTTCTTTATTTTTTATTTTCTCTCTCTCTCTCTCTCTCTCTCTCTCTCCCTCTCTCTCTCCCTCTCTCTCACTCTCCCTCCCTCTCCCTCTCTCTTCCCCCCCTTCCTTTTAATACTGATTTTCTTGCACAGATCATAAAAATTTTCTTTTGAAACGTGTACCTTTTCTCGTTGCGACGTGCAATCTCATAGGAAACGGCAAAGATTACCCACCGTGAGAATGTAAAGGTACCATTCGGTACCACTCTCTGACGACGTCAGCAAACAAGCACTCGTCTCTTTTTAAAGCGAAGAGAGACACGGAATAAAAAACAATGCGTGCTTCGAACGTTCCCGGTGAATCCGTACTTTTTCCTTTTATCGCACGTACATACATATCTACGTGGAACATTTTCATTCAGAGATATACTAAAATAAGAAAAAAAGAAATAAAAAGAAAAGAAAAGAAAAGAAAAGAATATACGAAAAACAATATATGTAAAAAAAGTCATTATTTCCAAACCACTTATGGTAGTTACCAATCTGTACATCCATCCATCCATCCATCCACTCATCCAAGCTGTTGTTACCATGACGTATAATAATGTTTCTACGCGAGGCCGCATAACGGAATTTGGATCCTTGACATTTTTGAATTCAGCGGTTCTTCTATGGTCGATCATAGTCATTGAATCTTTTCCATTACTCCATTAAAAATAATATAGATATTATTCTTTTTACTTAGATTTTCATTATTTTTTTTTTTTACACATATATATAAGTCAATCAAGAAATAGATGAAGCGATGAACTTTTATTCTTACGATAAACTTTACGTAAACAGTTACATATCTTCGTCGCATAGTCTATTTGTGTGTGTGTGTGTGTGTGTGTGTATGTGTGTATATTTAGAATAGAGGAGGGAGGGATTTGGAAATCGTATATTATAATATTAAGTTGCACTTTATAGAAACTTAAATATATGGAATCTCGTAGTTTGTGCCGATCATTCAGAGATATTGTAAATATATGTATATGTGTAAATTTCTCTTCTCCTTCCCCAATGAGGTTGCCCTCTCATAAGGTGTCCTTTCTGGTGTAAGAGGTAGTCCTCGAGATTGGTTCTCCATAGGGAGAAGGATTGAAAGAATAAGGGGGAAGGGAGAGAAAGAGAGAGAGAGAGAGAAAGATAGATAAAAAGTTTAAGAAAGAAAGAGAGAGAGAGAGAGTAAGAGAAAGAGATAAATAAAGGGTCAAAGAAAGAGAGAGATGAATAAAGAGTCAGAGAGAAAGAGAGAGAGAAAAAGAGAGCTGTGCGGGCGCAACATCGTACTGCTTATGTGTGTAGTATGCTCGAGTCATGACCTTGCGGCATTTGGTACCTGGCCGTGCCAGGCGGCCGTGCACACACTTACACGCACACATGCACATACACATACACATCCCACACCCAATTCAACACGAGGTACGAAGTAACGCGAACACGAGCGCGCAGCTTGCCGGCTCTCTGCGCGCACACGAGCAAAATAACAAAGTACCATCTCTTTCTCGTTCTCCCTCCAACGATCCGCGCGCGCACCTTCGCCGCCGCGCGCACACGCTCGCCCTCTATTTTTTTCCATTCGTGGCGCGCACACACGCACGCCACGCGACTAGTACACAGGTGCGCACTCGCGCGCATACGTCGCAATTTTTCTTTTCTTTTTTATTCTTTTTTTTTTTTATTATGTTTGTTTTTTTTATTATGTTTGTTTTTTTTTTATTTTTCTTCTTCTTCTGCCCGATATGCTTTGCAACAATCTATGTATCCTCTTCTCTCTCTCTATTTCTCTCTCTCTCCCTCTCTCCCTCTCTCTCTCCTCTCCCTTTTTTATAAATCAGTTATTATGTCAAATGCATGATAGATTTATTAGCTTATTATATTTATTAAGAATAATAATAATAATAATAATAATGAATAATAGTTTAATAATATTATATCTGATAAATACTTAATAATATTATATTTATTAATAAAAGAGAAATATATTCATATTGAAATATACATACATACATACATACATACATACATATATATTGTTTGATTAGTAATAAGAATAATAGATGCATAGAAGAGTTTATCGATCAAGATCAATTTCAAGCAATTTGTCATCATTTTGTCATCATTTTGTTTTCGTTCCTTTTCTTAATTCTTCTTTTATTTCTTCAGAATTTATTCTTTCGTTTCTCTCATTTATGTATGTATGCATGGTAGGGTGTATGTATGTATGTATGTATATATATATATGATGTATGTATGTATATATGATGTGTGTGTATGTATGCGTGTGTGTGTGTGCGCTTGAATACGTCTATTAGACCCAGCAAAATACCAGAGACTCCACGACCTTTCCTATTGTCTCTAGCGATGTCGCGGTACCGTGAAGGCGCCGACTAGAAATGCAAGCGAAGCCACCGTGGCATCCGGATTTCTCTCTCTTTTTCGTCCTTTCATTCCCTCCTTTATATATACAGACATACATATTGTTTGATATAAGGCTTCCTTGGGTATAACGTTTAGCTCGTCATCTGTCACACGGTGTAGAAGCTACGAAACGATTTGAAAGATGTTACGGTCTTACGTTGACAGAACTAATTCTCTAAGAAACCTTTCTCCTCTCTCTCTCTCTCTCTCTCTCTCTCTCTCCTATAAATTCTTTTTTTATTTCATGCTACAAACATTTTCTGATCTTCCTTTTCCTGTATTTCTACTTTACCGTTTAAAAATCCTCGCATGCGTTTTGTTCAGATAAGCAAAAGTAAACGAAACTTAAAACCCGAGACACAAATCAGACGTAAAATACGAAACCAAGACTCAATTTAGGTCGTCGTGTACTTGTCTCAGATAAGAAAGATATGGAAAAGTTACAACACGGGCATAAGATACGCAAGAACTTGCAACCCACTTTGCATGATACGCAAAATTTGCAAACTCAAAACACAGCTCGGATGCAAGATGTGTAAAAAGGAAAGAAAGAGAAAAAAAAAAGAGAACGGAATGTAACTCAAACCCAGACGCAACTTAAAACTCACGGTTTGCCAGCAAATGAAACGAATTCGTTTCTTTGATACGGAGTATGATAAAACTAGAGCTAGAATTTTTTCGAGAAGCAGAAGAAAAGAAAACAGAAAAAAAAAGAAGAATAGGGATGGTCTAGGATCGGCGGAAAAACATTTTCATTGTATTTACTTTTATTAAACCGTAACGTGTATACATTAAAGCGTGTCATTTCCGAGGGACATTAAATCTCGTGAATACGCTTTTCCTCGCAAATATATATATATATGTACATAGATTTGGAAAATTCCGTCCGACGTAACTCTCCGAAGCCTTCTTCCTTCTTTTTCTCCCCGCCCCCGTCACTTTTTCAATTTATCCTTCCCGTCATTAAAAATGTCGTAGTGTATACGTGTGTGTGTGTGTGTGTGTATGTTGTGAAACACAAAAGCTCTCGGAGATATCAAATATTCTCGTTGTTATATTATGTACAGAAAATCTTTCATCGGTTTGAAACTTGATGGATCAATCACGTGCAAAATATAATCTTTTTAATGATTATGATAAGTCAGATTTGGTTAGTTTTCTTCTTCTTCTTCTTCTTCTTCATCATCATCATCATCATCATCATCATCATCATCATCATCATCATCATATTTTTCTTTGTTAATATGACAACGGTATCGCAAATAAATTATTTCCTCGTGTAAATATTAGAATTGTGCGATTTATGATAGGAGTCCTGAATTTTTGTAGTGCATGGTACCAAAATGATGGAACGTCATCAGCATGTTAACGATATGCGTGTCTTTATTGAGGTTGGCAAGTGGATAAGAACGTGATATGAATTTATGAAAAGTTTACGTGTTAGTGAGTTCGTCGATTGTCTGTCTGGTCTTATCTTCTCTTTGAAAGCTATTATAATACATATTTACGTTAGTCGATCGATTAGAGATCGCATACAGAATTGCATTATTAATAAAGCCAACCACCGATCTGCCTTTTAATATCTGCGTTAAATGTAATCTTCGTTCTAGGCATTTAATTCAATTAAATATTGGAAATAATATAGGAATGTCGATTAAATGGAAAGTAAAAGAATTGTTGATTAAATTTCTTTTTTTTTTTCTTTTCCTTTTTTCTTTTTCTTCTTTTTTGTTTTCAACGAAGATCCGTGCCATAAATTATTTCTTTTGAAAAAAGTACGAACAAAAAAGGAAAAGAAAAAAGAAACTTCTTAGATATAAAAAAAAAAAAAAAAAACAAAAAGAAAAATAAAACGAAAAAAGAAAAAACTATTTGTGTATTTTAGAATTAATATCGAAGGATCGGCAAGTAAAAACGATATGTAAAAGCGATAAAACCTTTAAACGGAAGGAAAAGCCTACCTCAAGTTAACCTATTTTATTTGACGTACATACATATTTAATCAATGGGTCTTCCAAATTCTATATTCGTAACGTTTCGACGAAGAAAAAGAAAAAAAAAGAAGAGATGTATGCAAAGCTCTCATTTTACTCAATCTGTACGTCACAGGTCGATTAGCGAGGATGAGGAGGAGGAGGACGAGGAAAGGAGGATGAAAGATGAATAGGATATTTGTGTAACATGGAAGAAAGATAATGCCTTGGCAACTCAGGTGATACATACATATATGTATATATGTATGTAGAATAATTACCATCCTTCGATTTCTCATCTTGTTTCTTTATTTTCATATATTTCTAGATATATGAAATAAATGGAAGGTAAGAATGAGGTTTGGACGAGTGAGAAGAGAGACGAACGGAGAATTAATACGGAAAAGATATGGTGATAAACAGAAAGAAGATGAAAAAGGAATGGAAGTTAGAAAAAATGTTTTACAACCAATCGTAATGTATACGATGGAAAGTCGACAAGCATATGACGACGACAACGACATGACAACGCGACGACGATGGTGCGTATTATATATATGTTACGTATATTTGTATATATGTGTGTATGTATGTATGTATATATACAAGGATCGGCGAAGATATCCGATCGGCGCGTCGATCGTCGACCGATCATCGAGGGTGCGGAGTAGCTCTCGCTTTGGAGCATTATGATTGGTCGACGGAGCTTGCTTCGTACAGGCCAACCTGCCGCTACGCCGTGTCACCATGTTAGTTTGCCGGCGAGAGCGAGCAGTCAGTCGCTTACTGTCCGCGACCGGGTAAACGTCGTTCGTACGAGCCATGAATTGAAGGCTCGGACGATTATCTCGTGCCGTCTCGTTCTTCGCGTCTTCTTTTTTTTCACGCTTTTTTTCCCCTCTTCCTCCTCCCCCTCTCCCATCCCTGTTGTTCTTTCGTTCTCAACGCGTGAGAGCGGTCAACGACGCAGTCTCCAGGTATAACCCCGGGCCGGTGGGTTACTAGTAATAAGATAGTTTTTAGAAGAAAAGTAATATCATACGTATTAGTAAGTAATAGTGTTAGTAATTAGTACGTTCGTAAATTTTTACGACGGGAAGCTCGTATAGAAGGGAATAAAAGAGAGGAAAAAGAAAAGAGAAAGAAAAAAGAAAACAATACGAAAGGAAAAAGCTTTTGTTCCCGTTCGAATTTTCGAGGATCACCCTCTGTTTCTCTCTTCCTCTTTCTCTCTCTCTTTCTCTCTCTCTCTCTCTTTCTCTCTCTCTCTCTCTCTCTCTCTCTCTCTCTCTCTCTCTCTCTCTCTCTCGCTCGCTCACTCACTCACTCACTCGGTCCTTCCTCTATCGAGCGGGGAAAGGAAAAGTGGCTCGGCTCTGTGTGCTCGGAGTGCGGTGAGGGAGAACGACACGGAGGCGTGCGATGGCGGTGGCTGCGCCGGAGCCACGGCGGCCGCGCACCGTCTTTTCTGGTGGTGAACGTGCTTCCGGATGTGCTACGGACTATCGCCCTCAAAGAACTTTACGGCTGAATCGGACCAGTTCTCTCTTCGTTTTTCACGCCTTCGTCCTACTGCTCTTTTTCTTCGGCATTAAGATCGACGCCCTCAGAGTCGGTAAGTCATTTAGCAATGTTTCACCGGTCAACGACACCTACTTATACGGTCTCTTCCTATTTTAAATTTCCCGCGCTCATAGTGCATAAAAAGAGAGTTCGACCGACCGTTATGCGCGATTGATCTTTTTTTTTCCTCCCTTTCTCTTTCCCTCTCTTTCCCTCTCTCTCTCTCTCCTCTCTTTTTTTATGTTGTTTTTTTCTTTTCTTTTCTTTTCTTTTTTACTCTTTTCTTTTTCGAAATAAAGATCTTGCGGCTATTTGCGACACGAAATGGAAAAAGGATAAAACGATTTAACTTACGCAAAGTTTTGTTGACCAAAAGAGACGAAAGATATCTGAACTCTGATCCTCAAAAATATGTCTGTCCCCCCACGTGATGCTATGTTTTTTTGTATTAGGTTATCCTTTTCGTGGAAAGGAAGAATACCTTTTGTAATCTTTCTCCCCTAAACCCCTAGCGCTTTTTTCAAATCTCTTCGGGATATACAAAATTGTCCCGAAGTCGTCGAACAACGTAGTAAGAAGAAACTATTCTCGTTTTTTGCCTCTCTCTCTCTCTCTTTCTCTCTCTCTCTCTCTCTCTCTCTCTCTCTCTCTCTCTCTCATTCTTTTTCTTTTTCTTTTTCTCGTCTTTGTCGAAGTGTAATCTTGTGTGAAAAAT